ACAGTAGTACAAAATGGTGTGGTGCTAAAATTGGCACCATTTTTAGAAGCCTTAGAAGAGTTGCGTTCCTTACGTTTTTACCCATAGCTTTCACTCCAGTTTTGCTTACATATAAGAACACCTGAAGAATCACCTGTAATCTTTTCAGTTTGGCTCTTTTGATAGGCAGCACCCTGCCAGCAACTGCCAGTAACAACCCTAATGTCCTGAGCTCTGTGTGGTAGTGTCAGCAGCCCGTTCATGCATGCAAGTGTTTGTGTGTCTGGGGGAGAAACTTTCTAGACAAGAAGGGAAGTGTCCTGTCTTTATCTCCTGGATACGGAAGGACAGACAACGCAGGTATAGGATTACTTTGTGTTGTGCTAAAAAGAGCATACTTTAGCTCAGCAATATTTAGAGATAGCGGTGATATTTTGAATTTTGATCCTTTTTAATGAAGAACAAAAAAAGGTTTGCAGAGTCATTGGAAGTTTGTCATATATTTTAATCTATTTTAGCCTGATCAGAATAAAAGTTGAAATTAAGATGGAGAGAGAGGATTGTGATATGAATTAAAAATTTTGGAAAATTGCATTCTTGGTGTTTGTAAACATGCATACAAAGTTAACAGAAAAATCTTCATGGTTAGATAGAATTTGTGCATGCAATGCCGTGCACAGATACTGCACTCCCTAGTGTCACTGGTGGCTAATTTAGAAGCTTGACTACTAGCTGTTCAAATAAATTTTAATGCTATTTTTGAAAATTTAAATAATGAGAGATTCGCAAATGCTTTGGGAAGCCTCTCCTCAAAAAGGCAAGGTATGCTAAATAAGTGACTAGTTCTCGTCACGCACTGGAACAGTGGTCTAATTTAACATAACAAAAGTCCAGGCTGTTAATGAGGTATGTCCTTGGTTTACCCATTTATCATCCTAAAGTACAGAAGTTACTCTATACTTTAATTAAAGGTGAAGCTTGTAGGTTAACACTTTCCCTAAGAAGACCCTGTTTCAGTCTCTTGTGATTTTTCCAAAGTGTTTGGGCTAAAACGTTCTGTGTTGGATAGTTGCTTGAGAAGCATTTCATTTTATTCATTTTGAACATTTTTACAGAGACTCCCCAGCTATTTCTGAGAGGGAGATAGACTGATTTGCAACCACTTTATTGAGAAATTTGCAGTCTCTATGCTGTAAGTGAAGAGCTTGAAATTTGGCTGCAAGCTTGCTTGTACGTGAAGGACGTCCTTTTTTCTATGTGTATGGAAGGGGAAAAAATGGAAGAAAAGTCCAGTCTCAGGCCACAGTTCAGTAGTGAAATTCTGCACAGCAGCGAGTCTCAGACATGCTGCAGCTCGGGGCTGGAGGGTCAGATCAGTGCTGGAGAAAGCACTTAGGAAAGAGAAAGGGGTCTTTCCAAAGCCAGGACTGATGAAGTTGGTGCAGGGAGGAAATTGCACCCACAAAAAGTGTGTTAAAATAATGTCATAGGTAGCAGAGAATCTCACAGATGTCAAAGCTGCACATTCGGAAGCAACAGCAGTAGCAGAACCTATGCAGATCTGCATCACATTGTCTTATTCTATGATCACGTTTATGTGGGATCTCTGTCCCATAAGTTGAACAAAACTGTGAAAAGTGAAGTATGGTTATGCAAGAACAAGTTTCTTATAAAGAGAGAGGTTGCATCTTAAATGGGTAGGCGTTGCAGACTGATATCAGAGGGGGTTATGACATTGAATTCTGCCCTACAGAACCAAGTCCTTCATGTCAGTGTTTTGCATGGTTCTGAATGGTGCAATGAAATGTTGAGTACTCTGAAAAATTAAGTTCTTAAACTGCTGATTCACACCCAACTATTATTCGTATCCTACGCTGAACATACACGGTATGCTGTATAGGGTTATTCAGCTCTACTTTTAAGAACAATCCTAAAGCTTTTATTATTCAAACAGAAAACTATTTAGTACCACATCCAATGACTTAGAAATGAAACCCCTTTTTCGCTAGCAGGACCTCATTATCTTATTGCACAAGCATGCTGCTGTGAAGTAATTTCTTGCAGTGTTACAACTATGATCAGTCTTGGGACATTAATACAAATGCAATCTTCCTGCAACCTTTAAGCATATAAGTTGTCTCAGTGAAGGCTGCTATAGTGAGACTTAGGTCTAAGCAGCACAGTATTTTCGTGCTTACTGGGCTAATTTTGTGCAAATATTCCTGTTTAATTGTTTGGAAATATATGCGTATTTAACTGCACAGATTCAAGTAAATCGCAAGAAACGAGCTGAAACTCCTAAACACCTCTGCAAAGGAGTGTGTGTGCAGACCTGATTTAAGCGGGGAGCTGCACCACACATTCAAGGGTTCAAAAAGAGCTAGTCCACAAGGCTAACGCGCTCTCTACTGACTGCTTTCTTGAGTTAGCAGAACGCTGGTGAAACTTGCTACAGGGAGCTACTTAGCATCAGCAGAAAACGGTTGTGGTTTTATGACTGCTAGGCATATGTCAAGGTTTGTTAACACGTCAACTGTGCTTGTAGTTCTTCCCAGACCCAAGGTGTGACCTGGTGCCATTCACTGCGTTAACATGGGTAGTACAAGCATGGAGATAACATCATATAAAAAGACAGCCAAAAACAACATTGTCTTCATATGTCCTGAAGATACTCTTTGTTGGTGTGTAAGACCGGCAAAGTCGCGGGCATTCCTCATTGGCAAAGGAGCTGCTGATTCATGAAACGCTTAACCCTATGACACTTTCAGAGGATTTGTTCTGTAGGTTAGAAGTGGTGCACTGATTATATAGTTATTCTATCAATCAGAGGATTGTGGCTGTTTGAAATAATAATCATACTAGTGTGTTATTTTGTTCAACGTCAACATTTGGCTTAAAGAAAACAAAGCAGAGGTTGTCATCTCTTCAGTAAGCAAAGCAAGCAACTATTTTTATTGCCAAAAAACTGCTTGTATTGCCAAAAGAAAGTCTTTATACCTATCAGAAAAAATAATCCAAAACCTTGCATATAAAACATGTCAGTGATTAGGCATGCATTCAGGGTAAAGGTTTAATTCATTGCATTCTTGCAGCAATGTATTCGTGAATGTAACAATGCAGCATTGCAATAGCAGACAGTAGCAAGGAGAGGGGTTTTAATTAGTTTGACTCTCATCAGTGTTAACCCAGGTTGCTTGAATGAATTCTTACTAGTATTTATTACACTGCAGGGCCTTTCCTTCAAAGAGGAGCTGTATTTGCATGATACCAGTGAAAGTGCACATAAGGGGAAGAAGGAAAACAAGAGGAATGCTCTCTTCATTCTCCTTCCCACCTCCCCTCTGGTGGGGATTCAGTAGCTGCAGAAGTTAGACTGGCTGTTCCTATTCTTAGTCATCACTGGCAGAAGTAGAAATGGCAGATCAAGGTCCTCTTCTTACTTCACTGCAGCTGCATCCTTAGGTCAGGGACCCAGCGTCAGCAGGGGTGAGGCTGCTAGGCAGCTTGGCTTCTCTCGCAGGACAGAAACCCTCATCTCTGATCTGCTGCAGCCCTTACGCTAATTTGTGGTCAGGTGGCTATTTCCTAATCTCAGATACTGCTGGGCAGTGGATGCTACCCCAATGTCTCTTTTCTTTTGGCTTCTCCCCGATACAGGTCAAAACAATGTCACATAAAGTTTATACACGGCAAATAGGTATTTACTAATTTTCTTCTTTTCTGGCCTAGATTGTAGCTATTATTATTGCTATTACTATTCTCATGGCTATTGCTATGGCTATCAGTACAAAATATCCCGCCATCAGTGTTCCTACTTTTGTCACCTTTCAGCTAGTCTGCAGCAGTTGCACCTAAACGTGAAGTCTGTGGTACGCAGAAGGCTTTCAAATATTGCAGAGTAGTTTGCATCTCTTCAGCCACGCAGGCTGTTGTGAGGGCATAAGATTTATTTCTGTGCAGTGGCGTTCATGGGTGGTCTCCGTCCCTATCAGTAAAGCACTTGTGCTCTAACCCTGGATGTTGGCCTCGGTTGAAGGCGATGAAGGATAACTTCAGGCTGGACCTTTCTGCAGCTGGTACCCGTTCATAGTCTTTTACCCTTGGATAGTAAGTTGACTGTGAGATAATCCAATATGGGAGTGGAAATTGAAGTTAAACCTGGTGTTTATGGAGGGAACAAGGTAGGTTGCCTGCGATCTGTTATTGTTGCCCACAGACTAGCGAAGGTGGGGACCATTGCTCTACCATAAAGGTTACTGTCGCCTTTACAGGAGCTGATCTGGCACTGGAATAAACTCTCCTAGGTATTAAGGAGTCTCACGAGTTTCATCATTGGCTGTTTTGTGTGCACGTTTGTATTTTGTAATATAAATATCTAATACTGTGTATATTTAAAAGTAAAAGCCCACACCACTAAAACCTTAGCCAAAATAATAATAAAAAGAAAACCTCACACAAAATAAGCCACACTGCTGTACGTGGAAGAGACTATATGACAAGGTTACTCTGATTGATTGATGTATTGCAGAGGGTACTCACACTTTAGGGAGGCATACAGTATAAGAATTCTTGTACAGTTTGTTTAGTCATGTAGGTACTTATTCCATAAATGTTAGCATTTGTGTACCTTCAGAAAGATACTGTAACACCTTTCTGAACAGTCACAGAATGTCTTTATAGAGTGAAGTATTAGTCTTTCTTGCTACGGATGATTTGGAAAACAGTAAGAACTACCTTATTGACTAACAAAAATGGGTAGAGTTCACTTTAGTCTCCATCATGTTTAAATCAGCAGAATCTGATGAAATGTCAGCTGATGGCATTACTTTGCTGCTACGTGCAATGGTGTAAATGGGCACAGCTCTTCTGTCTTCCAGCAGAGATGCTGTGTTTCGAGTGGCCTGCTTTAGGCTGGTGTTAGAATGAACTACACAATTCATTTTACCTTGACTGTGAGGTTCAGCTGGTAAATTCTGTTATGCATAGCACTATCATTTTATTTATTTATTTCATTCCTGTAGGGCATTTGCTTGGACTTTCCCATGATGACTCCAAATTTTGTGAGGAGAACTTTGGCTCCATGGAAGACAAGCGCTTGATGTCCTCCATTCTCACGAGCATTGATGCTTCCAAACCCTGGTCCAAATGCACTTCAGCAACTATAACAGAATTTTTTGATGATGGTCATGGTATGTACTGTCACTCCTGGTGTCGGCTGTTTGTCAGTTCTTGCTGTGAACCATTTTTGGAATATTAGCATTTTATACCAGCTTTTTCATTCCATGCTCTTCTTCAGGACTATTTTGGAGGTGCTTGCAGAAAAAGTCAAAGGTCTCAAAGAGTGGCAAAGTCTTTATGTGGTTCATATGCAAAAGAAAAGAGAGAGTTGGTACAGTGTATATTGGCAAAAATTTGGTTGGGAACATGGAGAAGTTTTTTAAAAGCATGAAATTAGTTTTATGTTTCCAAATGCTATAGAAACAAATTCAGAGAGTACTTTAAACAGAGGACACAAGGAAATGCCTTGGTTTTTCAAAGAAATTAAAGTGGCTGTTGTGGTCTACTTAGTGTTAGACTACACATATGAGTAGAGTGTATGCATATAATTGTTGTTACCATTAATGGCATTTATTATGCCATGCCCCTAGTGCTAGAGGGGCCATAAGCAAGAATTAGACTCCTCTATGACAAAAGAGTTCTTCTGCCCCAGGAGCTCAGCTTCCCAGTCTTTTAACTAATATTTGTAAAATATGTCCTTTACTCTTTGGAGAATAAGCACAAGGCTTTCATTTTCTGAAAAGTTAATAATAAAGCGTAGTCTGCACTTTTAAATGAATTTTTAAGTCTTCGTTGTGCTCCCAAAGCAACTGCAGTTCTTAAACAAGCCATTCAAATTCCAAAATGCTGAGATAAAAATGACATAATTGAGTGAATGGATCAAGTTGTTATGGTAACTGAAATACTTATGGATAAAAAGTATGGTATTCCAGCTGAATGTAAAGGTTTTTTGCCTTTAAATATTTTTCTGGCTAATTTCAGTCCTTTCTGAAATATTTTCTCCTATATTCTCGTATCTGGAGAATTACTTCATTTTTTTCTCTCAATTTTGTTAGATCCATTAATCTGTGCTGTCCTATTTTATGGACCATATTGCTCTGGCATTGGCTTAATTTTAGCAAATTGGTTTCCATATGTGTAAGAGATCTTTTCTTTCTGAACTCAGTTAGATTCATTGCCTTTTGTCTCACTCGGGAGTTTCACAGTATATATTCTCTGGGGTAGGAAGGAGACCTCAGTGGCCATCCCTGTATAACCTCTTAGATAGAGCAAGAAACTCTGAGCTACAATTCCTCCTCCATTCCTCTCCGGCTGGCAGAAAGGGTGTTTGGGTTTTTTTGTTGTTGTTATTTTTATTTTTTTTTTTCTGAGATCTGACTTCTCCATATTGTGCATCCAGCCAACTACTTTCCCCAACAACACAGAAAGCAAAGACAGCATTTCTCCCCCCCACCTCACCTTTGGCTTGTTTGTACTGGGAAATACTTGAAATTTGGACCTTTACCCGTGAGCTGGTCCCAGTCTCCCTGGTAAGGGGAGCTGTAACAGTCAAGCCTACAGGTCTAAGAATATAAAATCTGCTGATTTTTTCAGAAGAAATAGGCAGCAGCTTCAAGTCCTTCAGAGTCATATCATGGTCTCCTTGTTCAGAACGAGTATTTCCTATCTGTACAAGAAGTTTAATTGTCTTCAGCGGCCAACACTTCTCACAAAGTCATGTATTTTATATTGCACATAGAAAGCTTAGGATCTATGAGTTTGTTGACAGATGAGTTGTTAGAGTGCATTGCCGTTTCTAATACTGGTAAGTAATTATCCTTCAGGCATATAGTGTCAGGAAGTTACCAACATGATGAAATAATTCATAGAAAATTTGAGCCCATAGTCTTACCTAGGAATCGATTTTAGTATTGCCTCTCTTGGTGTGATTTCAGAAAGATAATGTTTGGGGACTCTGTTTTCTTGATAGAAAGGCCTTGATAGATCAGGCCTTCAGAAACCTGTTTTCAAAGTAGAAGTCTGGCTTTTCTGTGGAATTTATCATTATTCGATAGCTATTTAAGTCAAAGATTTGTCTTTACAGAACACAAATGCTGTCTATGAAACCAAACGAAAATGAACGTCAGTGATTTTAATTATAATTTCTCCAAATTATTGTGCTAAAACAATGTGCAAGATTTTAGGAGATGGAACTCTTTTTAGTTTTATTTTCTTCTTGCAGCCAGTAAATGAATGCATAGCTCCATAATTCCCATTTATAATGTACATCGAGTGTGCCAGACGACTACCCAATCCTGGCAGAGCAAGATGCCACCTTTTGAATGGCACTGTGCTGATAATAAAACACTATAAATGTGCCGTATTTCCTTGTTTCCCTCAGAATAAGTATGTGTCTGCTTTTTGGATTATTCAGTTTTTTCCTCAGCTGGGACGGATGTACTGTAGCGTGGTTATAGGGCTTTCCCTCCTTTTTTCTTTTGAAGACAGTGCTCCCCTGTTAAAAAAAAAGAAGAAAATCATCTGTCTACTAAATGCTGCTAGGCAGAGGAAAAAAATGTAACTATTAATTCAGGTGTAACTGTGAACAGTGCTGTAGGTATAATGGAGATGAGGAAGGTGTGAAAGAGCATTTATAACCAAAGGAAGAGAGAATATAGTTATTCATATACCTGGATTTATTTTTTGTTCATCTATGTCTGGATTTTATATAATCACAGGAAGCTAATGTGGGAAACATTGAAGAAGAGGAGACTTTTCCATTCTTTCATACACAGCATAAATAATTTATATTGTGCTTTTGGCGTGAGCTTGTGAATTGCGCCTTGCAACAAACAGGGCATGCCAGTATGAGAAAGTAAATAAATAAAGTTCTTCATCTGCTACTTCTTATGGGCAAGCTTAATGAAGCTTGAATGAAGTCCAGAAATTTGGATTTTTGAGTAGGACTCCATTATAAAAGAACAGTCAATACTTTATCAAAGCTTTACGCTTTTGTTTCTCATATAGATTTTGATATTCGCCCCAGATTGCTGTAACGGAAAACATCAGTCTTGACTCTTTAATTCCATAACATCAATTTGTCAAGTTTTGGGCTTCCCATTTCATAAATTTGGAAAGTGCTGTTAGAGAGAGGTTTCACCTTATTAAACGTGACTATTTACTATGTAGATAGCTACACCTTAACAGGATATTTAAGTTCCCATCATAGTGAGGATTGTCTAATCCATGGCATCAACGATTTGTGTGATCTTCTCTGTGGTGCTGAATTACACTATAAAGTCCTTTGCCTGTACCTACAAGTGAAAACTGAGAGCTGACTGAACTGCAAACACCAGCCTTACATACAGTTAAAGCGACATAAGCAAATCCCAACATAAGCATGTCTGGGGAAGATCAGAGTGCTGATTCCCTGTCTCCTGTGTCCCAATCTGAGAAATAGAGTCATTATCATCATGATTTCACCATGAGATTTATACTCATGAGTTGACCTCAGTCAGCAGTTTGACATTTAGGAAGAAAAAGTTCAGTTAGTGTCCAGAAGACGGGTGACATTTATTTCCATCTGCTTTTAGCCTGCTCTTTCCTAAGGTACTAATTGCCTTTATTGTCATGCCAACCACTAGCCTGTGATATGATTGCTTGCTGTTTATTGTGTTTAGTCAGTGTGCTTGGTGCTCTGCATAATCTGAAAAATAAGACTATTCCTATTTTAATTAATTTACATCCTGCTTATCTGCTTCCTGCACAGATTTTATGCTGCCTGTTCTTCCAGGGTATGTTGCCTGTAACACTGAGGAGAGATAACAAGATGGCTTGATTAGCACTGTCGTCAGACAGTAATGTTGCTCTTTTTCAGGGTGCACAGATGTTCCTCAGGACTCAGGACAAAAAACGGGAATAGCAATATATGCATGCTCTATTGTAATGTAGTGAATTGAAGCCCTTTCTGTCCTCTGAACCAGGTGGCCCAGGACTAACCATTCTCCAGCTTCTTATCTCTGTGTTTTCTGACCATTGCAAAGTAGGAGGTTAGACCAGCTGGTGGTATAAACACCTGCACTTCACTGGAACCTGCCTAAACAAAGATTACCACTGTTGCTACCTATAAATGTAAAGACAGAGGGTTTTTTTGGTTTTTTTTTTTCTGTGGAGAAGCCTTAGGGGCCTTTCCTATCTTCAGTTTTGAGTTTATCACGTGAGATGAGCTGGAATATATGACTCTACAGACACTGGGTTTCCTCAGAGTGATATCAGTTCAGGAGAACCTTGAAACTCACTCCTCTATTCTGAGTGGGGAAAATGCTTTATTTGCTACATATGCTTGTGAAACCTGTTTATTATTCAGGGATGAAGGATATCCAAATGGGTGTTAACTAACCTGATTGACAATTCAAGGATATGCAAGAATGTGATTTTTTTCTCTCCCCCTCTCCCTCTCCCCCCTCTCTAAATTCAGATTTTCCATCATATCAGTTAGGGTGCATCATAGTTAGTGATGGGTGGCAGAGTATCTATCTGTAGAAACTATGTGTTACTTTCATATTTTAAAATATTGAATAGTGGTTGCCCTTGGGAATTTGATAAACACTGCACTGTATAGTAGCAGTGTATATGTCTAAATGTTGACATGGTAGTGACCTCTTGTCACTGCCCCAACACTTACACTAGTGTCCTCCTTCATACAAGGTAGGTGAAATAGTAGGACATTTGCTGTTCTCTGCTTTTATAATATGTATTTTTGACAGAAACTGTTGCCAGTGATTTCCTTTTCAGAAATGCCAGCAACCTACCTTTATAGAAAACATCAGTGCTTCCTCACCCTTTACCATGTCTTTAATATTTTACACTACAAAAGGTTTTGAACAGTAGGGTACTTTTAATTATCTTTATCTCATTGCACTTAGCTCATCAGTTAGCATTGGCACACCTTGTCTTCATTTAAAAAGTCAGCATAATCAAGATTAAAGATAAAACCAGGGTGAATCAGGGTCAGCAAAGGACAAATGGAGCAACAAGTTTAACAAGGTAGAGGTTTTTCAGCAGTAAGCGATGATGCAGAAAGGATTTTTGGCTGAATATAGCTAATAGACCTTAATCTTTAGAGGAGAAAAAAAAAAAAAGAATGGTTGCAGTAAATGTGTGTTCTGGAGGGAAAAAGCAAGCTGTTCTTTGAGGGATAGGGTGTTTGGTTTGTTTAAATGCACTGCTATAGCTTGAACCTCTATTCTATTTGGCTAAATGGTGAGATTTTTACAGTGAGCCTTTTTTACCCAGGATCCAACTGCAGAATACTGGTGTAAGTTGCAAAGTGTGATAAATTGTGGTAAATTATTTTGGCTAAGGATAAGTGAAGCTTGCCCAGACCACATAACCCTTTCATGGGGTGTAAAAGCGGTTATATTGAATAAATAATTCTGCATGTCAACAAGTAAGGTTTTCAGTAGTGAAAAAAAATCTTTCCGTAGATCCTCAAGAATCTGAAGGTGAATTCTCATTTTAGAATGTGCAGCAGACAAATAGTAACTTCCGCATTATTTCTCAACACATGTATTTTCTTCCATATTTTATGTATATGATCTATTTTATTTTTTCTGTTTTTTTATACAATGTATAGTGCTATTCAAAATAACTCCAAAGTAGAAGTATCATACCGCACAAGGAGAGCGTGGTGCAGATTTACCACCAGCATTAGCTTTGATATGCGGCTTATATTTTTCCTTTGATCCGTTTTATTTTTTCCCTTTTTTAAAGGCTTCATTGGCTACAGGTCTGTTGGGGTGTGTGTGTGTGTGTGTGTATGATTTTTCTGGCTTACCTTTAGAAGCTTTAGCATTTCAAACGGGCTGGCTCAAAACTCAAATGACAGCTTTGCTTAATTTACCATGCGTCCTGATCATTCCTTAAATCACAAATTGATAAATAGGGTAGAATGTATTCAGAGTCAATTCAAACAAGGGTAGACAGAATGAAAGGCCAAAGGGTCTTGAGTAAAATTCATTTACAGTCTTGAACTGGAAATAAACAGACAGCTTGACGCCTGGTACACTGCTGAGAGTGAATGGAGTTGCAATAATGAGACCTTATCCAAAACCTGATGATACCTCAGAGAGCCTTTCCGCTGGCGTCAGCGTCCTTTGAATGAGGTTCACAGTCATTACCAGCCTGTCTAACTTGAATGACAAATTTGCAGCACTGCAGAGAAACCTAGGAAGTGAGTAATAACAGACTGGGTTGCTCTTTTAGGCAACTGTTTACTGGACCAACCAAGAAAGCAGATCCTGGGCCCCGAGGAGCTTCCAGGACAAACTTACGATGCCATTCGTCAGTGCAAACTGGCATTCGGACCCGAATACACAGTGTGTCCCGGTATGGATGTGTGCTCCCGCCTGTGGTGTGCAGTTGTTCGCCAGGGTCAGATGGTCTGTCTGACTAAGAAGCTGCCTGCTGTGGAGGGGACACCATGTGGAAAAGGCAGGATCTGCCTCCAGGGAAAATGTGTTGACAAAACCAAGAAGAAATATTACTCGGTAAGTTACCAGCTGTGACCATAGGGAACTTTTGAAGGTGTCATCCTGAAAGGCGCTGATTTCCATGGGAGTGAAAGGGACTTGACGATGTTGGCTTAAGAGCTGCCTTAGTTTTTAACATGTTGCTGGAGTCTTACTGGTGAGGGATATAGGAAGAACGCTGCTGAACTTGAGGAAGCATGTTTTCTTGTTCTTGAAGTATGAAAGCCTTCATTCCTGGCAAACTGGGAGCCTCCCTTCAAAATAGAGGATTTGCCAATTCAGTAAGTTAGGTCTCAGGACAAATGGAAGGATTGTCAAAGACCTGTTCATATCTCTCTGACTTCTTGGCGCTGGACTCCAAAGTAAGTTAAATCTGTAAATTTAATTTACAGCTTTCATCAGAAGGGCCCCAGGGACCTAATTCTAGTGAAGAGAAAGATTGATGAAGCTCATCCAGCAGAAAAATTTGTACCCTCCGTCAGCTTTATATCTCTGAAGAGTCTCCAGGCTCATGAGAACAGTCTAGCGCGGAGTTTGGATACTTTTACGTTACCTGGGCGGACAGTCACCCTGCCCTTTCCATTATACCCACAAGAAAGACATTCACTTGCAGAGCTTTGTGAAGATGTTTACAAATTATGAGACTAGTTCAAATCAAGCTTTTAAATTTACTTTGCCTTTATAACACTCTTTTTAAAAAATATTTTTCTTCTTCATGCAGTACTTGTAAATTGGTGTACTGTTCTATTTACGGAGCCACATTAGCAGAGTTGTAAACTATCTATGACAGCTCCATCTCTTGCCAGTGTTCTTGGAACATTAACCTCTTGGTTCAGCGGCACCTTTAACTTCGTTCTTGTGGCCAAACTTCTTCATCTTATGCCTTCATTTCCTGCCTTTAGAAAACTCTGAAATTCAACCTTACATGTTTACAAAGAGAAAATTAGAGGCAGTGGCCTAATCTTGGAAGGCTACTGATGTAGTTCGGGCAGATGATTCACTTGGTGAAATTGTGGATATTCACTCGTAGTTGTAGCACGTGTGTGAAATAGGTCTTTGGAAACAAAACTCATTAACATAAGATACATTGAACTCTGTTGCTTCAGGATGTGGGCTTCAGGTATGGTTATGAATCTTTGCATAAGTTGGTTGATCTTGATTAGATCCCATAATACAGAACAATCCCTGAATCCCCTGGAGCTAGTTTAAGTGGGCTTGTTGGTGGGACAGCAAAAAAATGAGAGGGCAGTACATGAGAATATGGTTAGGATTTCTGATGCAATGTTTGTCTTCTGGGAAAGAGGCTGAAGTTGGCTGTGCAGAGTGATGCCTAATATTGCCCTAGCCTTGCGTGCACAATGCCAGGTGAGATGTCATCAATGCATAGGTAAAAAGTAGACGCTGATTTTACTGAGAGAGAAAAAAAGCTCCTCAGATGGAGCCGCCTTTTATCCCTGATGAAAATGGCTGAGGAAATGCCTTTTTCAATTGAGGAAAACATTAGCAGTGTCTTTGAGATTTGTTTATTTACCATTGTTCAGTTTGGATAACGTCCTTACTTCCCACCTTTCCATATGTTTCAGGCTTCAAACCATGGTAACTGGGGGTCCTGGGGACCTTGGGGACAGTGTTCCCGTACCTGTGGTGGAGGAGTTCAGTTTGCCTACCGTCACTGCAACAACCCAGCTCCCAGAAACAACGGCAGGTACTGCACTGGCAAGAGGGCCATCTATCGCTCCTGCAACGTCACACCTTGCCCAGCAAATGGTATGTGGCATAGCTGCCAAAGTGCCTCCATGCTCCAGCCTGTGTGTGCCTAGATAATAAATACTGAACTTCTACTAGGGCAGGAAACGGTGGAAGTCCGTTATAGTTTCTCCAACACACAATAAGAATTACTTACCACAGCAAGGCTTTTGGCATTAATACAATACCATGAATCTTCCCCAACCCTCACCCAAACCCCAGACAAAAAGGATGGAGATTCCAATGAAAAGAAATTTCACTCCTGAAAAGGAACAGTAAAGCAAACTTTAATCACTTAATTCTTATAATATCTAGGGAAACTTTCCAGGCTGAAACAGTTAAAGGATTTGAAGGCCTGTTAGGTACTAATGAGGAGAAATTATGTAACTTAGAATTATGTTAAAACAAATCAAAAATTGAAATAATGAGTAGAAATAATGATATTTGCAGCATGCTCTGAAATAACTACTAATGGGGCAAATAATTCTACAGCTAAATCTTTTCGACAAGAACAATGTGAAGCAAGGAACGGCTATCAATCTGATGCAAAGGGTGTCAAAACATTTGTTGAATGGGTCCCCAAGTATGCTGGAGTACTTCCTGGAGATGTTTGCAAGCTCACCTGCCGAGCCAAAGGAACTGGCTATTATGTGGTATTTTCTCAAAAGGTAATGGAATCTTCAATTATTATTTCAGCTATCTATTTAGAGGTGTCCTGTACCTTAGAAAACTTTCTAGGTATATACTACACATAACTGTGTACTAAAGCTACACATAAAACATAACTAATTTAATCATATGATCCAAAGATTTAACCATATGATTAGATATACTGGTTTGATCCACTAGCTATCAAGTAAGACCAGAGTTGGTCTCTGAATTAGGTGTGTTTTTCCACACCTAAATTTGTGGAGTCATAATAATATGTGCCTGTTAGTGTACTCTGCACTAATCTTTTCAGTAGTGGATAAAGGGGTTTCTGCCTACAGAGTCATTTGTGACTCTAGGGTTTTCTGGAGGAGGGAGGATAATATAAGTAAAAGAATAAATTTTACCCTGAGTTGTGTTATGGGAATCCAGAGTCACTCATGTGAAGCCAATTAATCTATGATATGACCTGTGGTCAGTTTATGTTACATCAGATGCAGCTCAGACTGAAATGGCTCCCACCCTTATGCTTGCAATTTTCTTCCTCTAAATGTTATGAGGATGCAGTAATTGATATGGTGAACTGAAATGTTCAAATGAAAGGCTGTCTAGGGGTATTGTTATTGCTATTATTAATAAGCTATGAAATCATCATTAAAATCAGACTCATTTTAGTGTCTTGTGGTAGAGTTATCTGTCATTACTTTCAGCCCTTCCACTAAATTTTGGCTGCTTTGGTGCTAGGAATGTTAGGGCAACTCAGTCCCGGCTGCCACGCTCTGTGCTGGTATTCATCTGGCTAAACACCAAACGAGCACAAATTCATTAACTGGATTCGTAGCTGTAATGGAATGACATACCATTTTAGAAATGCTCAAAGTATTTGTTCACCTATAGCATAGTTTTAAATGACTTGCAGTCTTTGTGATACAGGTGGTATAAATGAACTCTTTATTTGCCAGTCACATTCACAAAAGCAAATGTTTTCCATGGTGGTTTTAACCAACAGTCAACTGATTGCCTAGGTAACTGATGGAACGGAGTGCAGGCCGTACAGCAATTCAGTCTGTGTCCGGGGAAAGTGCATCCGAACTGGTTGTGACGGCATCATTGGTTCAAAGCTCCAGTATGATAAGTGCGGTGTGTGTGGAGGAGACAATTCCAGCTGCACAAAAGTCATGGGAACCTTTACCAAAAAGAGGTATTGATCGTGAGTACTAGTGAATGTATATTGCTGAGCAATTAGTAACTCTGCTTGTGTGCCTTCTTTCTGTCTCTAGATGCAGCTTATTTTAAATTAAGAAACGTAGTCCAAAAAACTACATTGCCTGTGCTTTATCGCACTTTTCAGATGTGTAAAACTGGCCTCTTAACAGCACCTTGATGCTGGCAAATAATCACATAGTAAAACACTGTACCCAATTCGTTTCTGACACAAAGTGCCAGTGATACAGGTGAGCGCCGAATAACATGAAGTCTGCTTGGAGTAAGTCACAGCATCTTATGCTATTTGCTAACCTTGCGGTGTCAGATGGCTTGTGGTTTCTCGAGGAGAGAGGGGAGGGAATAGAAGGATGAGCAAGGAAGTTCTTGAGGCCAGAATAATCTGGGAATATCTGAAACTCTGCGTATCCTAGATGGTGCTGTGTTAGTAAGTCACCCACTGAGAACGTGTTTCATCTCATCTGACCTTGAAAATGGATAATGAATACTTCCCACCTCGTTTAGTGACACAGATTACCTATGCAGATAATGTAGAGAAGCAGACAGCATTAGAGCACAGCTGTAATAGTCTTCTACAGTAGGTGAGAGGAATTAATACTCTAAAAATGCCTTTTCACTCTATGGAGTGTATGTGGAGCTTAGATGACTAGATGAGATGTCAAAAGTACGCATAGACTTAAACATGGCATTTTTTTCTATATCCCTATATCCCTTTGTACTCATTGGCATCGTATCAATCCCCAGGTGGATTTTCTTTCTTTTTTTTTTTTTTTTTTGCAGTTAAAATATTTTTATAGCAACTTTCCATTAGAAAATCTTACTGACAGGAGTTCAGCTTTTAACTATGATAAAACTTAATAAAAGTAAAACAAAAGCAACCACTCGGCAATATTTGCCTGTCCAGCAGTAAACTTTGTAGCTGGATTACCAGTGTCAAGTAAATCTGCCTTCTATCTGAATTGTTTCCCTCCTTCTTCGCTTCTTTAGGCGTATAGATAAATAAGGATTTCCTTTACTATCATTTATGCAGATTCCAAGGTCCTGCAGGACTCTAATGATCTAATCTTAGAAACTTTCAGCTGATGATTTCCACTCAGTATCTTTTAACTGAATTAGTGTACCATCTTTTAAAGTACATGACCTTGATTTAGTTTTATCTTTTCCAAATGTTTATAGGATGTTGAAAGCTACCCAAAATTGAAATCTTACTCTTAAAAGGACCTTGTATTTCTATTCATTTTGATATGCTGATTAATAGCGGTCAAAAATGGCTTTGAAAGTAAATTTGTTCTAAAAATAAACATAACTGATCTTCTTCCTGGTGAACCAGTGATTACTCACCTAAGCATGCCAGAACACCTCTGCCAAAAGAAATCATTTTCTATCCAGTTCAGTAATTATATAAACCAAATGTTTTCCAATCTGTAAATACTGAAATGCCTGAGATGTCTAAATGAAGAAGACAGCGTGAGATAAACCTCATCTGCTTCAGTAACGATCCTTGTGGTGGAATTCAGGCTCCAGCAAAGGTGCTAAGGGGGCTCTGTGGATCTCAGTGAGGCCAAATTTGTAGCAGAGGTACACCTGGAAATGGTGAGGTTCTGTTATAATTATTCATATAAGGTGGCCATCTTGTTCCTCAATATATGCCTTTAACCGAAACAACACCAGTCAGAGAGTAAAATGTTCTTTGCTGTGTGACTGAATTTGACCTTAGTAGATTCAGAGTTGTCCCATTTGAAAAACAAGAGTCAAACTGTAAATAACAAGTGTATTCTGACTTGGTTTGGATTAAATTTTAGAGTAAAGAGGACTTGATTTTTACTGTGAATATTGTTTGAGATTAATTCCTTTAAGCAAATAGTTGACATTAAAATAAAACCCTTTACTAAAATAGCAAAATATTATTGTCTGAAAATATTATTGCCTATAACAGGGCTGTGGCTGTAGTAAAATTATCTCTTGTCCACTGTAAAACAGCGTCTCCATTGCATTGCTGGCCATTATAACAGGAACTGTACTGGCCTATATATTAAAGTTAACTAATATTTCCCATTGCAGACAGTTGACATAATGCCATTTGTTTGTTCTTTTTTCTTTTTAAGCAATCAAAAAAAAAAAACTCCCTGAAAAATGTATGCTAAGACCTTTTTTAAAAGACTGTAAAGTTAAATTGTCAGAAGTTGGGAAACACTAGAATTAAGGCTGCAGCTGCTTCTTTGTGCGCATGAGGTGTTACAGTTGATAACTATGATTACTGTTTTTTATGCATACCATCTGAATTCTCTAGCGTATCTTTTAACTTTTTAGCACGTGATTTTGTAACTTTAATAACATGTTTTTACAGATATTTTAGCATCTATTGTCTAAAAATATTCATGCAGTGCTGAATAGCAGGGACCCTCAGCCTGATTTTTGTACTATATGTCTTCAGGTTTATGGAGATGCTAAATCAATAGAGGTTTAGCAGTTGTCCCACAACTGCTAGAGAAAGTATAGGAATAGCACAGTGCAGTCTTTACTTGTGCAACGAAAAATTCTCAAAAGTACCAGTCTATTGTGTAAACAGTTGCCATGGAGACACCTTCACTTTTACATGTTTAGTACACTTTCTCATTCCTTTTTTTCTAGAAAATACTGAGCAAAGCTTTTTAGATATGAAATATTTGCAGAATGATTTTGCCACATCTTTAGGAATGAAAATAAAACTCTCCGAAGTCCGATTGGTAGTTTATAAGTATGTATAGGCCTTAAGATTTTTCAATGTATTAGTCAAGTTAAAATAAATCAGATAACTTACTTGAGACAGTGAAAGTTCTAGCATGCCTGCAGGTTTTTTAATTGTTGCCACTTTCAGCAGACGAGTTAAATATCTTTTTTTGAATCTGAATTTAATTACTTTGTAAGTAGCAACTGAGAAGACTCTGTAATGGTACAGGTTAAACGTTTGGTTGCACCTTTTATTAGACACTTGGCAATTAATCTTCTTCTTTATGAATTTCAAAGTAAACGGTTTTTTTTTTCTCAGCGATCAAGATCATTTTTAAATATTCCCAAGGTACATCTATCCAGCTGTTACTCTGCTCATGCTTTCCTTCATCATCATTATAGCAAAGACAGCAAGAAACAGCTGTAACCAATGCATATCTCATTATCTTTCCTTGGCAAGCAAAACATGCATCGTATTTCATATCTCCCACCCTTTGCTGAAATATATAAGCTATTGGCTATTATGCAGTCCTCTTGTATCTGACTCATATGAAATTATTACTAAAGCTAAAGATTAAGCAATTTGAAATAAGTGCAGTATAAATTTCTTCAAGAACATGAAGAACAAAACAAAAGGCATAATGAAACCTGGTTAAATTAATCTTAGATTAGCCTCAAAACATAGGATTCAGGGTCTGAACTAAATTGGAGCAAGATGTGTCTTACCAATGGTTTCCTTAGGCTTTGCAGTAAGGCTTGAAGTTTGTTTCACGCTTGCTACTGAATACTTTTTTTCCCCTCCCTCATTCAGTAAGGGCTACACAGACGTAGTGAAAATCCCAGAAGGGGCGACTCACATCAAAGTTCGACAGTTCAAGATTAAGGACCAGAGCAGGTTCACTGCCTACCTGGCCCTGAAAAAGAAAAATGGTGAGTACCTTGTAAATGGAAAATATATGATCTCCACTTCAGAAACGATCATTGACATCAATGGGACTGTCATGAACTATAGCGGTTGGAGTCACAAAGACGATTTCTTGCATGCAATGGGACATTCTGCCACAAAAGAGATTCTTATTGTGCAAATACTCGCAACTGATCCAACTCAACCAGTGGATGTCCGTTACAGTTTCTTTGTGCCAAAGAAGCAAGGGCAAATGACTAACTCTGTCACCAGCAATGGCAACACCAACAAAGTAACTCCGCAGCTCGTGCAGCCGCGATGGGTTACTGGACCGTGGCTTTCTTGTTCTCGAACATGCGACACAGGATGGCACACCAGGACTGTCCAATGCAAAGATGGGCATGGAAAATTAGCAAAAGGATGTCTCCTCTCACAGAGACCATCAGCATTTAAACAGTGCTTGCTAAAAAAGTGCTAACCTGTGGTTGTGATCTTCTTTAAAAGAGGTTTGATTAAGCCATTGTTGACATACTGGTATTAGGTCTGCCCAGTCAGAGAGAAGCCAAGGCTTCAATGTACTTACACGCAGTCTCAAATTATGGGCAGAATCTGCCTATTTGGACCAAATGAAGATGTGCACTGCTTTAAATAATAGTAGGGTGATCTTGATATGTCAAAAAACTAAGCATTAACATTGTAAGCCCTCCGTGTCTGCAAAAATATAAAACAAAGAAAAAAGAAGAAAAACTAGTGAATGGAGGATCCTGGGATATTTGAAGGTTACAGAATCATCTCCCCTTTTTCACCTACCTCTAATACAGTATGTCTTTAGAAAGCATCACACATATCCATAATACCACAGTAGCTTATTTTATACTGTTTTGTAAATACCTTTCATTTGATATGTCACTTTATATCACTGGTTCTATTAAAAAAAAAAAAAACTAGTGAATGGAGGATCCTGGGATATTTGAAGGTTACAGAATCATCTCCCCTTTTTCACCTACCTCTAATACAGTATGTCTTTAGAAAGCATCACACATATCCATAATACCACAGTAGCTTATTTTATACTGTTTTGTAAATACCTTTCATTTGATATGTCACTTTATATCACTGGTTCTATTAAAAAAAAAGCAAAGTGATTGACCAAAGTATATCTGCAGCCATTGGACTTGGCCTGTTCTTCAGAAGTGGCTGCGGATGTTTTACTGGAAAATGAAAAGCTTGCTGCTGTTTTTAAAAAGTAATACTTTTTAGTTTTTTGACAACAGGAAATGCATTTCCATTCTAGGAATTTCCTGACAGCAGATCATAACTCTATGACAATGTGTTTCCACCAAGAAATTCTCAAAAGGAGCATTGCAGCAGCTGGTGGACCAGGGATCCCCATGTGTGCGTTGCTCAAATACCAGCACCATCAGCAACTCCTGACTGTGTATGTATGTGTCAGACATACACAGGGGGGAGGCTTTTGGCTGCTTAGAAGGAATCTGTGTACGCTTTGCTCATGTAAACCTTCCACTAGTTCTGGGCATGTCACAGCTTGGGGACCTTGTTGTAGATGAGTGATAGCTGCTAGCTCCTTCTTTCCATAAAACAAAGGCATACTGTATTTTGTAGAAGCAAGTTAGAGAACCAAAAATTACAGGTAAGATAACCAAGTGTCTTCTAACTCAGATATTCTGAGACTGTGTTCAACTGCTTTCTCTGTTATTTTCTCTATGGCTTCCACCTTGAATCTAACAATGTGTAATGTACCTACATCTTTTGAAGAGGCTATAAAGGTCAAAAAACACAGCAAGCAGTTCATGTTTTATCACTGTTTTGTCCATCATGTCTAACCATGGTATTTATCTTACCAGCAAAAGTTTGTAACTATTTGTCTTTCGGGGGGGGCGGGGGGGGAGGGAGTGTTCTTTTGTTTGTTTGTTTTTTAAGCTGTAGAAGTCATTCGTGTTTTGCATATCTACCACATATGGGAGGATCAGGGGTCGCTAGGAAGTCAAACCACATCAGGATGTGGAGGACTTACCCAATATCAATAAGACTGTTTCCACAGTACAGGCAGTAGCTGGTAACAATTTTTTTTGGCAACAACTTCTGAATCCCATTATTGTCTGGTAGAAGGTCTGTGACTGAGGAAGGGCATCTCACCATATGCAGGTAGCAGGTGGAGGCCTGATAGAAACCGTACCAAAATTGCTTCCTTTTATTTCAGCGGGTTTTGAATTAAGCCCTAGAATAACAGGTATTGAAAGAAATGTATATAACATGCTGCTGAAAATAGAATCCTGCGTTTCATTCACGAGATCGTCCACATAGGAGAATATGAGGCTGCAGGAGGATTTTCAGACAAACCTCACAGCTGCAAGTCAGTGGTACTTAAGCACTGAACGTCCCTAGGGTCTTTTCAAAAATCCCAGTCATGAAGTCAGGAGAGAACTTGTCGGTTTGTGTAGCAAAAAGGGCAGATTTCACTCCAGGCTGACACAAACATGTTTTTGCAACTGGAGCATGTTTGTATGAACTCTAGAAAGCATGTGATGATTTCAAAATAGCAGAGCATTGCTACATCTTCAAGGGTGAAACCTAGAGAAGTATCTATTTTTGTATTATATTCTAAATAAACAATAATAGGGACAGGTCCTCCTAGTTTGTCAAAATGAATTTCAAAGGAGTGTTACCAGTCATCTCCAGCTTTCACAAACAGTATGCCTTCTGGTCACGTGTAGTCCTATGCAAAACTGTGGATCTTGAGGAAATTTCCCCAGTTAATCACTGATCCCACCCTCGCAACTTAGATCAAGGCTCTGAATATTTGCAGACTTTTGGAAAGTTAGGATTTATCCCTTCTCTGCCTATTAACATAGGTGTCTTATTTATAATGTCTTATTTTCCCTTCCAGGAATCAGATTTTTATACTTAAATATTTATTACTCATGTTCTCAAACCTCTCAAAATTTCATAGCACAGAAGAACATCATGAGAGGAAAATAAGAAGACTTCAGGTTTACTCGTAGATTTAACATTTGTCTCAGCATACAACTGCTGTATTAAGTGGCATTTATTTTACCTACGTTTTAGCATTATAGAGACAAAATGTGTGAGTATTTGTATTTGCATCATAGTAATAATTTATTATATATTCAACAGGAGGAGTAAGGTTTTTGGATGTTATTCAGACTCCAGAAGATTAATACCATAAACGGGTATAAATTTAAAGCTTTCTTAGGTGAAGAGTATCTTTTTCATAGAAGGAATTTATTTATAAGTAAAGAAATATGAGAACAAACCACTACAGTGATTCCCCCCCCCTTTTCACCAATATAGTTATGAAGCATATTAACATGAGCGTAAAGAAGTTTATATGGTGAGAGGGTAAAAGGGGTGGAGCAAAGAAAGCAACCGTAAAAGCGTAGGGTAAACTAGGTCAGCATGCTCTATTTTACACTTGCTTTTTGGCTGTTCTTTGTAATAAGACTCCAATTCCAAAGCTGGTCGTTCAGTGCTCTTTCGTGTAACTGCTGAATGAAAAATTGGAGCTAGGTGTGTGACTGTCATTTCAGCTTGTGCTCTAAACTCGATTCCTCGCTGCTCACACTGTTACATCGTTGTTTACATTAGTACCGCCTGTTGCCAAACAGCATTCATAAAATGTTTCTAGTGGGTAGAGACACTATTAAAGCAGCCCACAGTGTTGCTCTTTGCATGGCAACGAATCATCTGCAGTGTTAAATTCACTGCTGATTCTTTGGGAGACATCTCCAATGCCTTGACTGGACTTGGACCCACTAGCATTAGTGTTTTTTAGAGCATCTGCCTTTCAAATGAGACATTCTCATTAGGAGAAAGCCTATCATCTCTGGTTGGACTGTAGACAAGCAATTAAATTTAGCTGCCCTCCTGTGGAAACAGTTTTATCACAAGGGGGAGAGGGAGTAATCTTGTGGATTAATCACAAATGTAAAAAAAAAAAAAAAGCAACACAGCACTGAAAAAAATAAAATAATTTATTATTTTTACAACTGGTATGTGAACGGATGTAATGAATTTATTTATTCTTATTTAACAAAAGTACCAATTGTGCAAATTCTATATTTAAAATGTTTTGCTATCGTCTCTGTCTCTCTCTTTCTCTCTCTCTCTTTTAATTTATGCTTCAAATTTGTGTTGAAAGTACGCCTTGTGAGTTTACATAATGTATGGCACTGGTTATTTTTTGTATGTTTTTATTTAGAAAGCTTTCTGCATGGAACAGGAGTATATGTGTATACATGTGTACACACTGTATAGATGTATATTCTTTTTCTGCTACCATCTTTTTTAGAGAAGTTGTGGATTTTTGATTTTGTGAAACCTCATGCTCAAAGCTCCTTGTTACGCTTTCCTTCTAAAATCTCTCAACCAGCAAATCGCAGAGGTCTGTGGAGCAACATACTAGCTCCTAAAGAAATCAAACAACAGACTGTTTTCACATAGGTGCATACAATTCATGCTACAAGCCTCGCTAATTTTCCATTGAATCGGTAGGAGTCCTATCATTTGCTTCAATGGGAGCACGTTCAGGCTTGTAGTGAGACCTCTATATGTGAATGAAGTTTCTCTGAGTTGTCAGGGTGGCAAGTGAGTATTCTCTCATGTAGTTTTATATTTAAATGGAAACATGAAAAAGAAACTGGTTTGTGTGTTTCTTCGGAAATATATTTGAAATGATGCATAATTTAGTTCATGATGACTGAACCATTTAAAAAAAATACTTTTTCAGTCTTTCCAGCATTTTTATATCCATAAATAGGTATAAAAAAAAAAAAAAAACAAAACCCCCATTTGCAAGGCTTTGCAATGTTTTACTTCGTTGTATTCTAGCTCTTTGCACCCTGTCAGGCAAGGTAAAACAAACAAGTCAGGCAAGTGTATGTTCCCAGTGTCTCCTGAAAAATAACAATACCTAGTTGCTTCTGCTTTTCATCCAATCTAACTTCTGTTGAACTCAAGGGGACTCGTCTTGAGCCCTGTTCGAGGGGGAAAAAATGCAATATAGACCAACTTACAGCAAACTTACTTACAGTCAATTTATTTAACAATACAGATTACATCTCTAACCATTTCACCTTAAGGGCAGTACTACCAAGAGCAAATAACCTATTTCACACTAGTGAAAGGTACCTTACTCATCACTGCCCACAGTCACACAAGTTAAATTCCAGCTCAGCCCCTGTGCCCCACGTTTCCTGCTCTCTAGGCACTACGGAAAACCCAGAGCCAGCCACAAGGCTTTAGATGAAATTACAACATCCGGTGACTGATGATTCCTCACTTAGGATGCAAGACTCATGCCAGAATGCCAGGAAACTGCTGTGAGCCTTGACTTTGATGATCCTTAGGGCAGGCTCTAAATAGGATTTGTAAGGATGAGACAGTAGTTATTATGGGTTTTCAGCAGTGTGTTAGGTGAGTGTTTCTCCTCGTGTTAATGAATGCTGCGCTGTTCTTTGTTACTGAGGAAGAAGGAGCATGCAGCAATAGCCAAAATCAGATCCTTTTGGCGTGGGCTGCAATCTTCAGGAAAAAAACATAGTTGCTGATTTTGAGGGGGTTTGTTCCCCTCACACACCTTTTTTTTAATTAACTGATCATTTTTTTTATAGAGTTGCCAAAGTGTATTGTTGCATTCATGCTTGGTAATGTTTTCCAGCGGGTTTTTTTTTTTTGTTTTTTGTTTACTATGGATACACTGAATATTAGCTCGCATAGTAAAACTAGTTTGACATTCTTGTTTCAAATAACATTGTCAATGCAAGTATTCCTCATGTTAGCATGTCCACCCATAATGATTCATAGCATGAGAGAAATTGTCAGGTTCTCAACTGGCATCACAAAGTGCAGCTCTGGGGTTTGGACCATTTTAGTACAAGTGCAAGTTTTCAGTTA